CCCCAAAACCCCAAAACCCCAAAACCCCAAAACCCCGGAGTGGGGGAGGAAGATTGAAGAGATGGTTTGGAGGATTTGAGTATTGGGTTGATGAGTTTATATGGTAGCTTTTGCTTTAGGTAAGAGTTTCGGCTTTCCAGATTTTGCAGATGTTGTCTTTTCCTCCGGTGATGATGGTGTCGCCGTTATCATTGAAATGACAAGAGAAGATTTCGTCTTCATGGCCGTCTAGAGTCTGAAGAAGTTCACCTGATTCAACAGACCACAATTTGCATGTGCTGTCTGCACGTGCAGTCGCTAAAATGGTTCCTTGAGGATTAAAACGGATATTTGAGACTTCGCTAGTATGGTCTTCAAGAACATGGAGGCATTCCCCAGTTAATACATTGTAAATTCTGGTTGTTCTATCACCTGAAGAGGTGGCAATTTTGCTTCCAACAAGATTAAAGCAAGCATCTAATATATCATCTTCATGGTCGCTGAATGTTTGAATACAATCTCCAGTTTCAACGTTCCAAAGTTTGCAAGTGTGGTCAATCGACCCAGTCAAGCAATACTCTCCTGCATAATCGAATTTTGCGCATGAGATTTCATTATTATGACCAGATAGGGTATGAATTATTTCTTGAGTGTTGATATCCCAAATTTTAGCGGTGTTATCAAATGATCCTGTCAAAAGTTTATCTCCATTTGTATTAAAATTCACACTGACTACTTCAGCCGAATGCTCATTAAATGATCAAACTTCATGGCCGGATTCTACATCCCAAATCTTTGTCATGTTATCCATTGCTCCAGTAGCTAATAGATTTCCATCAGAACTAAACTCAAGACAAACGATTTCTGCTGTGTGTCCTTTAAGAGTGTGTAGTAACTCTCCAGTATTACTATCCCAAAGCTTTACTGTTCTATCAAATGAGCCTGTAGCGATTGTGTGCCCATCCTTTCCACCAAAAGCTAAAACATATACTACATTTTTATGGCCTGAAAAAGTCTGAAGTTGTTCTCCCGTAATAGCATCCCAAACTTTACATGTTCTGTCATAGCTCCCAGTGATAATTTTGTCTCCATTTTTGTTGATAGCTCAATTGGTGAGAGGTAAAGTGTGGGGGTTGAGAGATTTATGCTCTTCAAACTTGGTAATCTTCTCATCCTTCTTCATCTGAACCAACTCACTTATAGCATTTCTCAATTCGTCCTCCTTTATTACCCCCTCTTCCGTCTCCATAACCCTGTTCACCATCTCTTCCACCTCAGTCTCTTCCGTCAAGTTCAAAAAGTCAATAACCTTGCTTTCTTCCTTGCCTTCTTCATTTTCATACTCATAAGTCACCCCTGGAGGGTACTTCCTAGTAGAGATTTTGTTGGATTTCATTAAGATTTTATTTTATAGAAGGGTCGGCAATCGAAGGATTTGTAGAGGGGTTTTGGGGTTTTGGGGTTTTGGGGTTTTGGGG